TTTTGCTGGCAATGATCAAGAGAGAGACTCTCTCCACCCCCGTAATTGTCACAGGACAACCTATTTAGTTTTCTTTTATAGAGACGGACAATGGAGGCATCTTTGATCTCCTGGAAGATAACCTCCTCTTGCCATATAATCCAGAAGATTTCAGTCAGCCTTTGGATGAACAGTGCACCCCCTGCCTCGTAGATCTCTGCTGGAATGGAACTTTGCCACATGAGAAGAACCTAATTGCATTTAAAACCTCTACTTCAGTTGAAAGTTCAGCTACAGAGTGATTGACTTCAACCTGAATATCTCAGTCAATAAGTTCAGCAGTGGTTGATGATGGTCTGTTGAAAACACTATGGAAGTGTTCAGCCCATCTCTCCAGGATCATATCCTTATCACTGATCAGTGTGGCTCCATCAGCACTGAGTAGTTGAGATGCACCACAGGTCTTTGGCCCATAAATAGCCTTCAGGGTATCACAGAAGTGCTTGGGTTACTATAAGCATGAAACTACCTTCTTACTGAGCCAAGACTCTTGCATCTTTCTAAGCTTAATTTGCACTTTACTTGTGATGGAGTTAAACCCTGCTTTCTTATAGATAGATGAATTATCCTGCTGGTAAACTCTGTGGAGTTCTTGTTTTTCATTTGGTAGCTTCTGAATTTCCCCATCATTTTCATCAAGCCAATATTGATGTTTGCGAGTGTTGTGGCCCACATGAGTAAATGTGGTTCTATAACCATATCTCTGAAAACTGTCTATTCCTTTTCTGTTCCATTATTGCAGCCCTGTATTGGCTCAGCTTTTCCTCCAAGTCAGCAACAAATTGTTTGAGCACAGAGAAGCATTCTAACCTGTTGATTTTAAATCTTCTGTCTTGCCTTGGGATTGGTGCTTTTGTTGAATGTGAATATTTACCTTGGGAAAGATAAGTCTACGATTGGTCCAGCAGTCTGCTCCACACATTGTCTTTGTCACTCTCATGTCCTGTCTGTCTCTTCTTCTTGTAATTACATAGTTTATTAAATGCCAATGTTTGCTGTGAGAGAGTGGATCCAAAAAGTTTTATTGCATTTAGGTAAACAGAAAGCAATGTTGGTGATGAGAGGGTCATGAAAAGTCTTCAGTGGTGACTGTTGCTGTTGCTCTTTCCATCTCCATTCCTCCCAAAGACTCCCTGACATGTTTGATAGTCTCTGCCTACTCTAGCATTAAAGTCACCCAGAATTATGAAATTGTCCTCTTTCAGCAAATTGATGATGATGGTCTCCAAGGCTTCATAAAATTTTTCTTTGACCTCATCAGGGTTTGTGATGGTGGGAGCAAATGCACTGATGATGGTGGTATGGCACTTTCCTGCAAGTGGCAATCACATTGTCACAAACCTGTTGTTCACTCCTTTTGAGTGGCATACAAAATTGTTGACTAGATTAGATTTGATTGCAAAACCTACGCCAGCTTCACGTAATCCCTTCACTACAGCCACTCTAGAAAAACATGTATCTAGCTCCAGGTTTGGTAAGCTGGCCTTCATTAGCCAGCCTTGTTTCACTGAAGGCTGCTATTGCCTGCAATACCTGCTGAGTTTTCTCAACACAAGAGCTGTTCATCTTTCACATCTACTGAATTTTGTGTTGTCCATAAGTACGCAAACATTCCATGTACCAATGATGAGTGCATTTTCACAAAAGTTTTTGTATTTTTTTTTTGGTGGGTTTCAACCACAGGGTAGGATCTCTGCCTGTTGCAGTAAGCAGGCCAGGGTTAGGTTAGGTGAAGCAGACAGTTTTTAGGGCACCTTTTCTAGCTCTTTCCTCATGCCAGGAGGTGAGTGGTACAGTCCTTAAAAAAAGGCTGCTTAGAGACCCAGGGGGCTGCCAAATCCCACTGCTGCTTCAGTTCAGTGAGAAGATGACCCTATGGCCTGGGCCACCTGTGTGCAGGGTTGTGACTACAGCTTCCAGAGTATATACACCTTCTGCTTTGTGACTTGCCCATTGCCATAGGACTTTGAGAATGAAATAGTAACATAGTAAAATGTAAAATGGTAAAATGGTATGGTGTGTTGTTTTTTGACTCGAGTGTGAATTGGATTTAAATGAGGCAGGATTGTGTGAAGACATCAGTTTCAATCTCTTTCTTCTAGTCATCAAGTCTAGGGGCAAGACAAAAGTCAAGAGGACTGGAGATGGCCCAACCTTGATGTCTTCAACTTCTAACCAAGCTCTAAGTGCTCTACAGCACCTACTCAGCTGCTTTCATGGCCATTGGAACAAATTGTTCTCACCTGCCCATTCCACCAGGGGAAGTCTTCACATGCTTGGGATAAACATCCCTTTAACTTATCAACAGGTTTGAGACCTGTCAGTTACCCTCAACCTTAATCTATCTGCCAAGACAGTTTTATCAGGGTGTGGCTGTTGTACATGCTACAAGCTTCTTAGAGACACAGATGAGAGCTGGGTGGCAGGTGGCCACCAAAGGTGGAAAGCAACCTTGAAAAAAGGGCTCAGCAGCCCTCACACCAGAGGTACCAGTCTTCCCTGAACACCCCATATACCCTGTTGAATTACTAAACCAGCTCTATACAATATTCCACATTTTAACATATTTTCTATTGAAACCATTAACCTCAAAACCTTTAAACACTGTTATGTTATATAATTGAAATGAATGCAGTTTATCTTGCCATCAGTATCGGATTTCCTGCTAATCTTTGAGCCACTTGCTGTGGCCAAAAAATAAATCACCTGGGGGACAACCTGGTGATGAGACTCTCCCCAGTTTACTGAGGCTTGTTCTTCAGATAACAATCCATCCTTAAGCTAGGCCCAGGCTAGAAGTGTCTCCAGCTTTGTGCATTGTGCATAAATATGAAAAATGTATAAAATAGGGCTAAACAGAGTGAAGCAGGGTTGTGCGCTCACTCCCATGCACGATGTTTTCCATGATATTGTCAGATGCCTTCAATGAAGATGAAAACAGCACCAAAATCAGCTTACTCGACAATGCTGTAAACTATTTAACTTGAAAAGGCTACAAGCCAAGACCAAAGTGGAGGTGAAATTGGTGCACAGCTTTTTGTTGGCAGATGATTGTACACTTAATGCTCAATGCAGCCTCTGAAGGCAAGATACAACAGAGTATGGATCAATTCTCTGCTGCTTGTGCTAATTTTGGCCTAACGTTCAACACCAGGAAAACAGAGGTCCTCCACCAGCCAGCACTGCACCATCCATAGGTGGTACCGTTGGTCACAGTAAATAGAGAAAATTTGAATGCTATGGATAAGTTCGATTACCTTGGCAGCTGATGCTGCCTGGAGTCAGGAAGATTCATCTTCCTGATTTCAAATCTGCTTCAAACACTTCTAGCTGTGTGACTTTGGGCAAGTCACTTCAGCCTGTTTGCCTCAGTTTCCTCATCTGTAAAATGAGCTGGAGAAAGAAATGGGCCAGCCACTCCAGTATCTTTGCCAAGAAAACCATAAGTGGGGTCATGAAGAGACAGACACAACTGAACAAAAGCAGCTGGCTTGGCCTGGCAGACAGAATCTGCCAGGGCTACTAGTTCATTAGGCTACAACTGTCTTCTGATGATGCCACATATCATAGCAGCATTTCCCAAACTCATTTTATCACTTAACACTTTAGGTTTTGAAATATACTGACCAAACCCACGATACTGAGATGAAGTTGGGGAGGGGTGGAGAAATTTTTTACATAAATTCTAGAAAATTAAGCCCATTTTCATAACGAAAAATGCCACACACATATTTGATACATAATTTCTTATTTAACATTTTAGTGACCAAAAGAGTATTCACATTTTTTTCTTATAACAGATTTTCATATCACATGAAGCACCAGAGTTGTACAGAAACACTTTTGAGAAACACTGGCACAGTGGAAAGAGCCCTACACTGAGTCAGAAAACCAAAACCATCTTGGTTTCCAACTTGGTGTCCCGGCAGTGTGCAGCTGGGACCAAGCACTTCATCTTTTCGACCCTACTTTCCTCCCCTGTAAAATAGGTATACTAATGATACCTGCCTCACTCATAGGTTTGTTGCGACACTGAGCTCGTAGAAGCATAGGCTTAGTGCTGAAAAGCACCTCAAGAGGGCATCTATTTCAAACCACTCATTTTGCAGATGAAATTCAGGCCTGAGGAGGTTGTGACTTTGAAGGCCCAAGGTAACAGACATGATGACAGAAGGATTCAAATCAGGTTCCACCCCTTCCTTTTACAAATGAGGAAAATAAGGTTTAGAGGGATTTATCCAAGGTCACACAGCTAAGTAAGCATCACTCAGAAGAATCCCGGTCTTCTGACTCTAAATCTAGGGGATCTCAAAAATCTAATTTATTTCATTATCCAGTAGCTACAGAGGCGCTACCAGGACAGGCGGAAGAGAGGAGATGGAGAGATGTAGCTTTGGGAGTGTAAGGGGCGGTATCACTATCATGAGGTAGGCAAGACCCGTACCCACCGTTTCCCCCTAAAAAGGATAACCCCTATCTAATGCTCCACGACCCCTCTCTTCCTGCCAGTGCCCAGAGACCCGGGTTATCCTGTGAGCCTCCGAACCAGCACGCATCTAAGCCAGCCCCACCCCACCTGCCTTCATTGCGAACGCAAGACCACGGGTTAGGGAGGAGGGCGGTTTAGGCGCGGTCACAAGACCACAAACACCCGGCCGGGAGATGGGAGTCAACTGAGGTGGCAAGTCTCCCGATCCCCGCAGCCTCAGCCCCGGGGGAGCGAGAAGCTCCGGATTTCTGACTGAGGGGCTCGGGCACTTTCCTCCCTCCCATCGCCGACAGAGCTCGGGAAAGGGCAAGTCCAAGGGGAGGCTGCCTAGCCAATGGCTGGACCACGAACTCGAGCTCGAGCGCGGAGCCTGCGCCCTGCGCGTCCCGCCCCCCAGCCCTTCCCCACTCCTAATCTCCACTTCCCCCTCCCCCAACCCTAAGGGCGCCTGCGTTCTGGGATCGAACGCCCGGCGTCCCCTCCCCTCGCGTGTTTGGACCTGGGCTCGCGGGCTAGAGCCTTGGTCTCCTAGCGACCGACGGGAGTCACAGTAGCAGCCCTCCAGGCTTGCCTTTATTTGGGAGTCTTTAAAAAAAAAAAAGAAAGAAAGAAGGCCCCTGAGACTCTTGGCGCTCAGCCCACCACCCGGTGTCAGGTTTTCGAGAGCCTCATGAATAAGAAGAAGACAGAGAATAATTTGGCCTGCTCCAAGGAAGGAGATGGGTGAGACCCAGAAGCTGGACCTTCGTAGCTTTTCCCCTCCCTTTCCTCTCTTCGTGCTGTAAGCTTTTCTAGGAGAGGTTCCAGGTTCCGGCATCTGTTTAAGTGCCTGTTTAGTCCACGTAGTCCAGAGATAGGGAGTAAGATTCTCGGGGTAAATAGACAAGCCCCTGCTTACGAAGGAAGCTAGCGTGGGCACATCTACGCGGACCGGCCCCGTCTGATGAATAAGTGCCACGAGCGGCGCCTTCCAGGCGTGATTTGAGGTTGCCACTCCTTCCCAAAGTCTTCTCCTGGAACCTTCAGGAGTTTGTCACTGATGACCGAATTCTACCATTAGAGAGCCAATGCTTAAAAGCTTTATTGACCCCAGAAAATGCAAATACTTCTGGAGCAATACATTTAGATAATTAAGACTTTTCTGGTGAGTTTTCCAGAGCCTTACCCGAGAAGACTGCACCAGAAGACTAGTGGAAAGAACCTGGGGACTGGGATGTTAGGCCCAGCACCAAGGAAAGAACAGTAGGCTTGGATGGGAGGAGTCAATAAGCATTTATTGAGCGCCTAGTATGTGTTAGGCACTGTGCTAAGTACAGTGGGGGGGGTGATACAAAGATAGGCAAAACAATAACAAGGAGCTTGTTTTCTAATGAGAGAGACAGCACACAAATTACAATATACATACTAAACACACAACGTGAATTGGAAGTGATCTCAGAGGGAAGGTGCTGACTTTAGGGGGATCAGGGAAGGCTTCTTATAGAAGGTGAGATTTGAGCTCTGAGACTTAAAAGAGCCAGGAGGCAGAGATGAGAAGGGAGACCATTCCAGGCATCAGGCACAGCTAGTGAATGTCCTAGAGATGGAATGTCCTGGATTAGCAAGGAGGCAGGTGTCTCTCGGTGGTAGAATGGGTGGAAGACAGTAAGGTTTAAGAAAACTCCAAGGTAGGAAGGGGCCAGGCTGTAAAGAGCTACAAAAGCCAAACAGGATTTTATATTTGATCTTCGAAGTAATAAGGAGCCACAGGAGTTTATTGAATAGTGAAGCTGCCACTAAATGACAAAATAATCCATAGTTGGGGCTTGATAAGACATGACGAATGATATGACAAGGGACTGAAGTGTAGAGGATAGTGTAGAGTTGAACTAGTTCACCAAAGGGTTGAGATAGGGAGGGAAGGAGAGATTAACCAGTTCAGGAGGGGTGATGGTCTAGGAAGGAACTGAGGAGTAGGGATGATAGAGATCATAGTAAAGAAGATGAACAGGGTTAGGTGTTCCTAAGGAAAAGGAAGAGATAGAATGATAAAATATTATGAACAGATAAAAGGAATTTCACAATTCATAAACATGTAGGTGAGCCACTTGTGGGTAATGACAAGATCAGGGGTGTGACCTGTGCATGTAGCAGAGGTGGAGTAGAGGAGCAGGTCATACATAGTAGGTAAACTGAGGCATTTTGAAGCAATATCAGTATTTGAAGTCCCCTAGTATGAGAGCAGGAACTTGGGAGGAGAGAAAGACCTGAACTCATTGAGGAAGGAGGGAGAGTATTCTGGAGGTTGGTAATAAGTACCAGAATCTTGACTGGGTGATACATATTGCCTCAGGCACTTACTAGCTTGTGACGCTGGGCAGGTCACTTAACCCTCATTACCTCAAAAAAAAAAAGTATAATCGGTACTGAAAAAGATAGGTGGGGGTGATGAAAGTGCAGTCATCAGGAGGGAGCCAGTGAGACAGATCCCAGGGAGTGCCCGAAGATGGAAGGAGTGAGAAAGGAAATGGCTTCAGATGAAAGCCAGTTTGTTAACTGTACAGAATGAATTCTAGAGAACAGAGTAAGAAGGGGCAGGTAGATCTGGAGTAGGATGTTGAGGGAGCATGGTTGAGGGAAAATGGGAATAAGGAAGCAGGAAGCAGCAGATGGAGAATGGGGTTTGTGGAATGACAGTTGGGAGTTTAGAAATACTTTTGTGAGAAAAAGTGTTACAGGTGGGAGCATGATAGCTGTTGAAGAATGAATTCAGGCAGACTGCAAAGAGAAGTCCATTGAAGGAGGTAAGTGATTAGACTGTTCTGGCATCAGGTACTGGATTAGACTGGCCTTCTCAGGGACAAGCATAGAGACAGAAACAGAGAACTCAGGGCTAGGGCTCACATCCCACACTTTGCTGCTTATTCCTATGTGACCTTTGATAAGACACAACCTCATTGGGCCTTAGCAAAATTAAAGGGGAGGAATGTTTGGACTAGATTAATTCTAAGGGCCTTTCCACATCAAAATCCTATGGATCTAATAAGATTTATGAAAATGCTTTTCTCAACTATCCTAGGACATAGGTAGTACAAATGTTATTTTCCTTATTTTATAGGAAAGGTTCAGAGGAGTAAAAGTGATTTCCTAAAAGTAATACAGCTAATTAGTGCCCCAGTCCTACATAGAAGGATGGAAGATTTTCTCTCTAAGACCAATGTTGAGTTACCTTGAGTAAATCAACTCACCTGCTGGGCCTCAGTTTCCTCATCTGTAAAATGAAGGGGTTGGACTATGCTCCTAAGTTACAGCTATAATTGTATAGTGTACTTTTTTTTAACGTACAATTTCTTTTTTAAAATACCAGTTTAAATCTTTTTTGACAACTCCAAAAGCTAAAGACCAGACCTAGAAAATGGAGCTAAAAGCTTTTTACATAATTATAAAAAAAACCCCACACTAATGAGACTTCAAAGAAAGTGCTATCATTCTTAGTTCAGTATGTTATAAAAGTAACAATTCATTTTCCAACTCTGTCCTGTACTTAGAGATCAGAATTTGGCAAGAAACAGAGTTGATAGAGGTTCATGACTGTGGGTAACAGAGCCCTGCTTCTTTCTGCCTTTCTTCATCCTTGGCTTCATCTAGGTTAGGCAAAATCGCCTACTTGGTAGTATTTGACTATGCCAGAGTAGACAAAATTACACATACCAGGAACCTGTCAATCAGTAATGGTAGAAAGGGCTTTGAGGTTATTATTAAAGAAATCACTTGAACATGTGGAATGCTAAGCATTGATTATAAAGAGACAGCCAAAGTTCATCAAGAGCGAATTGTGCAGGGCTAACCTCATTTCGGTAGGCTATATTATTAAATTAGTTGATAAGGAGAATGCTATAGAGATATAGTTTACCTAGATTTTCACCAAAGCTTTTGATACAGTATATGATACTGTTTTTGTGGAGATGTTGGAGAGAGATGGACCAGATGCTAATACAGTTAGATGGATTCAGTCCAGCTCAAAGAGTAGCTGTTAACAGTTCATTGTCAGTTTGGCAGAAGGTCTCCGGTGAAGTTCCCCACGTATCTATGCTTGCTCCCATTTAACATTTTACTTAACTGGGATAAAGACATAGATTGGGTTACTGGCTGCAGAGGCTAATAAATTAGGGAAGTTAATGTCAACAAAGGAAGCAAATGGAGAAAAGTATTAATGTTATTAGAAATTAATAATGCCACCATTTAATAAGTATTAGAATGCTCTCCTGGGGTGAAGAGACCTAGTAAGTAGGGAGGGTAAAAATATCCAGAAAATTAAGTAAGATCATAGATTTAGAACTAGAAGGACCTTAGAGGCCATCTAAGTCAATTCCTTCATTATATAGATAGGAAAATGGAGGCCCAAAGTGTTTAAATGACTTGCCCTTGGTCACAGAGCAAGTAAGTATTAGAGGCAGGTCTTCCTAACATGAAATGAAGCATACTAGCCACTACTCCACTGAAGATAATGAAAAACAAGTTTTTCCATTTATTATTTGCCTGTGAATAATGACCATTTTCAAAATTTTTGAAGAAATAAAACTCTTAATGAGTACTAAATGCTTATTATTGTAAATGAGAAATAACCAAGTATTTACTAAGCTCCTAACTATTATGTTCTAGGCATTGTGCTAGGACTGAGGATACTGGGACAACATGAATGAATGAAGAATGAATGAATGAATGAATGAACGAATGAACGAATGAACGAATGAATGTGAAATGAAATATGAATGAAATGAGACAATGTGCCCATGAGAAACATTCTGTCTAGGTGTTTGCATTCTCTATACGTGAGATAAGATTCATCAATCATTTCTGTAAATTAGTTACACTTAACATTGTCTTATCCCCTTTTTCTAGACTTTGCATCATTTTGGTCCAAAATAATTAAGTGTTCAGTCCATAATTAATTCTTACTTTCCTCATTCTGATTCTTTTGATTTGACTACTATATTTCTTCCTTTTTCCATTTCTAACTTAGAATGTTGAAGGTGTTACTTTTCAAGTATATATAAATATATATGTATATAGTGTGTATGAATATATATATGTACATCTATTAAAAGCTCTTCTCAAGATTTGACTATTAATGTGTAAGAGTGAGTCCCATTTGAACTAATGGATTGAAGGGGCACAAGTAGAAACATTGCAATGTAAAGAAAGCCATTTCAGCAGTAAAGGAAGCATTCTGTTGTTATTTAGTTGTTTTTCAGTTGTGGCAGACTCTTCATGACTTGTTTTGGGGTTTTCTTGGCAAAGATACTGGAGTGGTTTGCCATTTCCTTCTCTTTCATTTTGCAGAAACTGAGGCAAATTGGGTTAAGTGACTTGCTCAGGGTCACGTAGATTGTGTGTGAGGCTGGATTTGAACTGAGGTCTTCCTAACTTCAGGCTCTTTTGCTCTGTTCTTTGTGTTTCTTGAATAACTCAACCACATATGAATATGCCAGCAAAGACAATAAAACTTATCCCTGGACAAAGGCTGCTTCTTTGCCTTTGTTCCCTATTACTTGGCTGTGTAAGACCCCAGCAGTTACATGGCTGATCATTATAAGTGTAGGAGAGATCCTTCACTGAAGGAATCTACTCTAACCCAGAAAGAACTGTCAAACAGGAGAGAGTATATCTCTCCTACTTCCTACAAAGAATAGGAGACCCCAGTTCCAGAGGGATTTAAAAAGGTTTCTACTAATTCCTGGCTAAGGGTCAGTGCCATTACTCAGACAATTGTAGAATTCTATACAGAAACACCTAACTGAACTAGAGGCTAGAAGTGGTAGAGACCACAGCTGTCCTTGTCACAGGCCAGCCCCCAGCTTATCTGCACAGCCCTGTCCAGCAGCTGAGTTACCTGTCTGCCCCAGTCTTGGAGAAGCTACGCCCAAGTAGCTGAGCAATCACTCATTTCAGCTCAGCAGTGCATCATCACAGCCTGCCAAGACCCTGCACCCTGTGAGAAATGAGCTTAGCCTAGTAGGGGAGAGCAAATGATCACTGACTCCATGTCTTGTAGTGTGACCTTTGGGAAGACTCTCCAGAGAAAGAAAAAACATCAAAGCTCTAAAATTCCAGAGTTGTGAATTTCCTTGCTCATGTGTATTTCTTAAATGTATCCATTACACCAGGTTTGGGGGAGAAATGCTTTGTAACTACTGTTCTTGCTATGCCATTTGAGTAAATGTTTTTTCCTGTGAACTAACAGATCACTGGCTGATTGTAAATGGGAAACATACCAGTGGGGGCTACAGTGTTGGGCATAATCACCCATGGGGCATACCCTAGAATACAAATAAAAGTTACTCTTCAGGAAATCTAACCTGCCATTGCCAGTGTCAGATGGGAGAATGAGCTCAGAGGGAGTACTATTACTGTTGTGATTATCATTATCAACACCATCATCATTATTTGACCGTTCTTTATGCTCTCTTGTTTATAACTACCTAAAAAATAGGGAAGAAGAAAGAATAATAATTAGCATTTATGTGATGCCTTTAAGGTTTGCAAAGCACTCAAACATTATTTTTATATTTTATTTCTAAACCTAATTTAGCATGTTCTTTCTTTTCACTGATGTGCTGGGTACAATTTGGTCATTATGCAAAGTCACATATAGAGCTTAATAGGTGAATTTTAGAAAGTACTAAAAGATAATGAAGAATTTTATGCGGGTATGATGATAGCATCAGTATTTCCTATTCTAGAAAAGATCAAAGAATCCTGGGTTGGCTTTGTCTTCCTTGGTCTATAAGTTAACCTTGAAAATTTAACTGTCTAGAAAGATATATGTAAAGATAATGTTATCTCACATTTATACAGCATTATATAACTCACATTTGTATGTAGTAATTTTAATATTTACAAAGCATTTTCCTTACAGATTTTTATGAGGCGTACAGGATAATTATCATTATTCCCATTATACCTATAAGAATATTAAAGCCTCTAGAAATATGAACTGACTGACCCATGGTCTTATTTCAAGTAAGCTTTGGAGCTGATGGATTCAAAATACCAGTTCAAACCATTTGATCAGACTTTGAGTGACTAGATATAAATTCTTAGTCTGCATGATTTTGTTATCATTCTTTGTTATAAATAAGATTCTGCGTAAGGCCTTAAAATTATAATGAGAAGTCATCATCAGCCCGAGTCTCTTCATTTTGTTTTTTAAGTAATATTTTTTTAAAAAATAAGAGCATTTTAACAATATAATCAACTCATAACTATTTTCATCATAACAGCTAACATTTAAATACTACTTTCACATTTATAAAGTACTTTACTTATATTATTTCATTTGCCCCCAGAAGTGCTGTGAGATAAGCATTTTGGGTCTTCTTATCTCCATTTTTATAGAAGCTTAAAGCAATGACTTGCCGCAAGGGTCACACAGGTAGAGAGATGTTTAGGCTTAGGTCTCTCCCAACACCAGACACAACATGCTTTCCATTGTCACCACTGCGTATGATACTTTAAGGGGCTAGGTGAAACCCATAGGGAATTTGCATAGTATTTTATGAGATTACCAAATTATCGATGAATATTGAAATACTAATTGGAATAAATGGATTTTTTTCCAGAAAAGATAATTGTAAAATATCAGATGTTCATTTGCCAGCTATAGTAGAAAGAAAAGAAAAAAACAAATGTGAAAAAGAAGCTGAAAAAGCAGAGCAGCGTTCAGAAAATACATGTCCCAGGAGACCACGTGTAATGTTTGCCAAATTCATAAGAACTAATCCAAGATTCTATAATGAGCCAGTTTGCTACATAGAACACCCAAATATAAGAAACAAGCAGGTAGGTCTGATGTTAATTATCATTGCCTTAAAAAGGGGGATAATATAATATAATAATAATTATATACACATTATGTATAGATACAGACCTAGGTTCAGAAGTAATTCAAGGTAATTCCATGTTGGACTTGAAGGGAATAATTTGTGTTCACATCATACGTAGTAGAATTGCTCTGTTCAGTTCAACAAACATTTATTAATTTAGACTATCAGGGACCACTCTGCCTAGTTTTCTGACCTTTTCATTGATGATGTCAGGCACACACACACCCTAGTGGCGGAGCACCTTGGGGTGCCCTAGTACTCCACTCAACACTGAAGGCACCTGGGAAGAACACCAGGTCCTCCGTGCTTCTTACAGAGCTACTACGACCTCTGTATCTCACCTCTACCTTTTTTGTAAAGCTTTGAGTAAAGCTTCTCAATTCATTTGCCAAGGGGGAGTGGGGTGGTCAATGTGAATTTATAAGAAGGAAATAAGCATTTTTAAGTGCCTACAGTGTGCTAAACATTTTACAAATATTATCTCATTTGATCCTTACAACTACCCTGAAGAAACTAAAGCAGACAGAGGTTGAGTAACTTGCCTGGGATTACACTGCTAGGAAGTGTCATGTCTTCCTGATGCCCAGCCTAGCACTGAATCCATTGTCCCACCAGTTATTTATACAGTTCGACTCTTGGTTCAAGGCACTGCCAAACCAGTAAAACTATGTCCTTCCCAGCACTGGTTTACTATATTTCATTGAGCTATGATAGAGTTAACCACACAAGGATGGCTTTGCCGATGACCAAAGAACTGAAAGAGGTACAATCAAAATATATTCAAACTACCACACTCTGCAGGCTTTGCACATCACACCTTCTCCCAGATATAGTTCAGTCACAACCAGTCTTCTGGCATGCTCAAACCCAGTAGTTCTGACACAGTCTAGCTAGTGAGACTCAGTGGCTTCCACTGGAAGCTCCGTAGGACCCCAGTGTTGGATTTAGCAACATTCCCGAAGCTTTGCTTATTTACTGCCTCCAGGAAGGCCTCAAGCCAGTTAGTTTGAAGGTTCAGACTAGGAGGAGCCCCCAAAGTCATTTCCATTTACAATTCTGCTGCTGGCAGTAACTCTGTTCCTACTCTCCTACTGCTCCCTGGCATTGTTGTTCATTGAGTGTGTTTTAGTGTCTTTGCTATGCCCCCTCCTTCAGATAGCTTGAAAATCCAGTATATTTACCAAGAAATCCTCCACTTGGCTTATACCCCAAAAAATATTTTTTAAAAGAAAGGACATAGTATAAAAGTATTTACAGCAGCATTTTTTGTTGTATCAAAGAACTGGAAATAGAGTATATGCCTATCAGTTGGGAAATGGGTGAATAAATTATAGCATATGAATGTAATAGAATATTATTGTACCATTAAAAAAATGATGAAAGGTACTGATTCAGAGAAACCTGGTAAGATGTATGAATCAAGTATACAGAACTAGGAAGACAGTTTATACAATGAATTACAACAGCTTAAAGAAAACAACTATGAAAGACTTAAAAATTATGCTAAATACAATAAGCAGTCTTGACTACAGAAGACTGAATCATGTTTCCCACCTTTTGGCAAAGAGGAGATGAAGTAGAGTATCTGATGAGAAGTACCTTCTTAGATATGTCCAATGTATGGATTTATTTTTCATTACTATTCTTATTTGTTACAAGGGACGAAAGATTTTGGAGAGGGTGATGGTTAATGATAGTGATAGTTAAAGAAAGAAAGAAAACATTTTAAAATGAATCATTTTTAAAAACAAAAGGAAAAGAAAGTTTAGAAGGGGATGCACACAAGCAGGGAAGTCTTGGAACTACCATGTTAAATTTGAAATATACTAAAAAAATAGAAAAGAAAGAAACGACCGTATGAAGTAGAGATTCACAGTTTTCTGTTGCTGTACTCTTTTTCTCTTCTTTGTATATGGAAATGTTGATGTTTGTCGACGCTTCCCGGATTAATAATAAAAAGGGGAAAAAAAGTTTAAAATAATAAAAAGACGAGTTCAGGGGAGAGATTCAGGTTCTGTATATATAAATGTGGAAGCAGTTTGGTGTAACATATCTAGTGCTGGTCTTATAATCAGGGAGACCTGAGTTCAAGTCCTGTCTCTTGTTATGTGATTGCAAGGAAGTCAATTAATCTTTCTGAGCTTTAGTTTCCTCACCAATAAAATGGTGCCAATATTCCTTATAAAAACCACCTCACAGGGATGTTGTAAGGCTCAAATAAAATATATGTAAAGTGCTTTCCAGACTTTAAAGTGATATGTAAATATCATCATTATTTATTTTTTAAAACATTATGTGGATACAAATTTAGCTATTGAAGCTATCCATCTACTATCTGTGATCCTCCTTTCTCATCCATGACCAGCTAATCTCTTTTTCCATGATATTTTGATAGGCAATTTAAACTACTTTGGAGGTCTTTTAAGATTGATGTTAACATCTATTATAACAATTTTGATCAGAGAAATGAATAAGTCAAATGCCATAAAGAAGAGACCAAAAGAGTGTTAAAAACCACATTCGTCAGTCTCCTTGTTAAGTGGATGGATGTGGCAGTCAAGCACAACAGCGGTCGAGAATGTAAACTCATTTGTAAAATGGTACAGAGATGGATGATAGGAAGGGATGGAAGGGAGAAAGGGAGGGAAGGAAGAAGAAAACAGTGAAAGAAGGAAAGATTTATTAAGCACCTACTGTAGGACAAGAGTATGCAAAGTCCTTTACAAATAAGGTTTTAAACATTATTACTAAATAAAATTAAAGCAGTAAGATGAAAAAAAAAAGTGAAAAGATTCAACTAAAACAAAATCTTTCCAAAAACGTTTAAGGATGAAAATGAAAGGATGACAAGTAGATGAAAAAATGGAAAAGATCTGTAATATTTTTTGTAACCAACTCTTTTTACCATCAGGGAAAATGGAGCTTCCACATTTGGGCTCTAACATCATAGTTCATGGTCTATTTCTTGAATTAGTAGAAATGGCGCTGAAGAAAATAAATAGGAAAAAAGCAGTTGGACCAAAAGAAGCATATATGAAGGAAGTTCTTGCTAGAATTGACACAATCTTGAGGGTGTCAAGAGATGGATTTTCAAGGTATCTGAAGGAAGGGAGTATAACAAAGACACTGAAAAATTTTTTTGATCTAATTGTTACCTCCCCCCCCCAAAAAAAAGGTTACCAAGTATCAGTATCCACTGATTCTTTTTTTCCCATCCATAAAAAATTTAATGAAAATAATTACCATATGTCACATACACCTTAATGACAATAAAAGGTAAGCTTTTAAAAGTAATATCCCACAATAGAACACACTTTTACCATCTCACAGTTGATTGAAAAATATGGACTAAACAAGATCTCACTGTATTTACTATTTGCTGATTAAAAACACTCTTTGATTTGCTGTAGAAAAATACAGCCTTAAAGACTTTTCTCTAACAAGTTCTCTCCTAGGAATATGTCAAAATTACGTAAGATTACTTGAAAGATGTAATGATAACTATTGTTTGATAACCATCATTAATTTCAAGGAAGACATAAAACAGGTAGACATACTCACTGGAGATGTTCACATGTGAAAAATAGAGAAGGTTCAGCATAGAGTCCAAATTGAAGAAAGGTTCTGTGAGGATTGTGAGTTCCTTCAGCTGCTCTTATTTGTAGTTAATATTGTCCTGATTCCATCAAGCCCTGGAACTTAGTACTTAGTACAGTCTCCTCAGTGAATCCAGGATCATTCAAAAGTCTTGCCTAACTATCCACAGATTAAAAAAAAAAGTCAACGACAAATGCTTATTGTCTTGACGCAATCTATAGAGCTCATCCAGAAGTATGTGTATAGTTATTTATCTTAGACATTGCCAATGGAAGATGAGCAACACGCAGAATTTAACAGGATAAAAAGTGGGGTTGGGTTGCCTTTAATGGCCCTAAGCTTCTTGTAAAAAACCACATCTTTTTTAGCTCCAGTAATCTTCCAGTGATGGAATCCTCAGAGTCATGTAAAGCTGTAGTGTCTGAAGAAGTAAACACGATGATCACTGAAATGACAATGGAGAAGTGTGTGTGTAGGCTCCACTGTAAATTACAAATAAAGAATTTCACTGGTGAAATGGTATGAAAGATGGCATCAAAGTAACATGACCAGAAAAAAAGATAACTAGAGCGAGGAACAATATCCAGGCAGTATGAAAGAGGATTCAAGGAAGCCCCCAGTTGAGTGGACCTCACTAGTGAACTCATGGGAGGATATGGATAAGAATATCACAGGAAATGCAAAAATGAATGAATTAGAATATAAATCACTGGAATGAATAACCATATCACTTACCCCGTCTGAGCATCAGTTTCTTCATCTACAAAATAGAAATAATACCAACTCTAACAGGGCCATTAGGAGGCTTAAATAATATCATGTATGGGGATAGACTATGTTGTAACTTTAAAGTTCTATGTGTCAGTTATCTCATAATTGTCATGCACAACGATGTTTAAAATAGAAAAAGCATAATTTAAATAATTACAGACTCTCAGAGTTGTCAGGGACTTCAGACTGCCTAGCCCAGTGTATACCTAAGTAATAAAACCTACCAGATCATATTCCAGGAAACTTTGTAAAGGAAAACTCATTGCTGCTGGAGGCAGCCTATTTCACTTTTGGAAGTTTTTTCTTATATTAGGCCTAAATATGCCCTGTTATAATTTCCACCTATTGCCCTGAGGAAATAAGTAAAAACCAATCTAACTGCTCTTCTCATGTTGATATAAAACAGTTTCTCAAATACTTAAACTATCAGGCTTATCCGCCCCCCCCCCCAGCCAAGTCTTCTTTTATCCAGGCTGGACCACACCAATGCCTTTAACTGAGCTTCCTATGGCATGATCTCTTGGCCAGAATGTTTTCCCTTCTCTGGACAACTGCAGCTTACCTTCCTAAAATGTAGGGACCAGAACT